GTGCTGTAACTCAGTGGCTACGAATGCACCCCAGTTTGAAGGCTATTCTCTAATTTGGAAGTCTGGCTTGCTTTTCCAGGAGTCAAAGCAAGCGAACAAACGGGGAAGGCATCCACATGATCATTACATGTACTGTATAGTATAATAAAAAGCATGCTGTGAGTTTATTTTAAAATTGAGTCTCTGACTGCACTCGGATTGCTCACTAAGGATTTTAACATAGCCGCAGATGCATTCTCATTCTCCAGAGAGATTCTTTTGTAGTTCCCTGGAAGATCCCACATTGCTTCTTTGAGTATGTGAATAACATCTGCGTGTGTTCTCTTTCATTTTTATCTTTTCTTTGTTTACCAAATGCCTTCAGCCACTGATCTGTGCCTTACTATTGTGCCTTCACTAGTCAGTGAAACGTTTTCTAGTTTGTTTCTTTGTACTTGAGAAATATATTTTCATTTGTTCCTTGGCATTGATACCAGCCTGTGGTTGGAAATGAATCTCTAAGTCTACTTAGTTTTGCTTAAAAGTACTATGAGGAAGGAATTAAGCACTCCCCATTTTTACACAGTAATATCAAGGGCACTCGAGTGGCAGCCTTAGACAACATTATGGCAAACAGAGATCTCACTCTTGTCTTGCCTTTATAGTTGGCACAGAAGCATTTTAGCGGGCAACCACAACAGCCAAGCAGGATCTCTCCAGGGCCTGTGCAAGCAGGAAGTGGCCCTTTTCAAAAGTCTTGCAGGAAGTGGAGTCAGTGAGCTGCATCAGCACATTTGGAAATCATGGTAAGGATTAAAATTACAAACTAAAAAGTTTTTTGTTTGTTTTTGTTTGTTTTAACAAAATGTACTTCTTTTGTTTCCTTTAAAAAAAAAAATCTCCCAAAGGATTGTATCTGGGATGGACTTCGTAGTATTTGATTTTGTGCAGGACTCTTGTTATTCCTTTCTTTGTCTTTTGCTCTGACTAGGAGGGATGGGCCCTGTAAATGTTAATCTGGTGCTACAGTTCATCCTCAGGGCCGGTCCTGTTGGCAGAGCAGATGTGCGCCGCTTTTCCAACAGAGGGCAGTATGGCTTTGCTAAACATGCTCTCGGGTTTGAAAAGCTGTCCTCTGCAAAGAGCAGAAAGGACATTAGGAAACAACCTCTGTCTTCCCATTTTGCTTCTGTTGCTTCAACTGCAGGTGCCATTTGGTGGTGGTGGTCGGGGTGGGGGTGACAATTATTTTTTAAAACTCTTTTTCCCTTCCACATGCTCCTGTCACCCAAGGGAGAAATGAGGGAAATAAAGGCAAAATGTGCAGAGTGAGTCTTAGGCACCCTGGCCAGGGGAGTATACACATTGCCCATTGCTGCGCCAGCCCCTCTTGGTCCCTCTCTACAAAGGGTCCGTGATTGTATAGGTTGTATCGATGCTGGGATTCCATCTGTACATTTCCTTTGCATTTTGGGCAATGTTCTTGACAGAAAAGCAGCTTGGTGTGAAATGTGATACAAAAATTGGCCGTTTGTAGGTTTCATTCTTAGCCCCATAGAAGATGCTCAGTTGTCCAACTAGGGTGAGCTCTGAGACCACCTTCTTAGCCAGGAATCCTCAGGAAATCATAGTTGGTGGATGCAAGGAAACTAACATTTATTGGATGTTTATTTTGTGTGCGGAATTACAAACCTTATGTAATGTATTCCATTTAATTTTCCTGACGTCTTTAAGGGGTGGACATAATGAATATTGTTTTCTTGGGAAAAATAGAGTCGGAGAGGTCCAGTGAGCTTCAATGAGGCCATGTGAGAGCTGGGCATAGAACTCTGGGCTCTCTGATGTCAGAGGCTAGTCTCATTCTAAACCTTCTAGTTTCCACCATCTCTCTCACCCTTTGCAAAAGGGTTGGCTCTGAACATTCTCAAATATTCATGCTACTTTAAGTTGCAACCATAGAAAAACTTGGCTCAACATACTGAAAACATTGACAAACCTAGGTAAAGGGGGCAACCATTCTCTTCTCAACCAATCTTTTAGAAACACACTTCTTTTCGTAACTTTCCTGCTGTGCCTGGATGAAAGCACATATGGGCAAAAAAACCTGAGGAAACTGAGGCTGAGCAGATGGACATAGAGGTTATGTGTTCATATAGTTTGCTTGAATTATAATTTGAACCCATGTATGTCTGGCTCAAACTCTTAAGGTTTTTCTACAAGGATTGCTTCTCAGTAATATTGTCTGAGGACCTGGACAAATCAGCCAAAGAGGAGGCCAATAGGGGAACCATGGAAATGACTAAGAAGGAAAGCTAGTGAGCTGATGAGCTTCGGGGGACTCAAGCTTCAGAAAGAAACCAACATGATCTGATACTGAGACATCCTCCCCAGACTCCAGACCACCAGCCAGCGCGGGTGCGGATTGCATTAGCCTCTCCCTTATGTGAGTGGCTTTCCCCCACATACAGCAGCTGCCTTTGAAGGCTATTTCGGTCCTCACAGAAAGCCTCTTTCCTTTTCCTTTCCATTTATTTTTATTTTATTTTTTTTCATAATGAATAAACACAGAGGTCCAGGCAGGCAGAGGCGAAGCCAAACACAAGTGTTTTCCAAAAGCCTCTGAAATAAACACCGAAGCGCTGTATTTCATAACCCTACACAAACCTGACAGTAGCCAGCTGTTGTCGGAGCTAAACACCACCCTAAAGAGCCAAGAGCCGGGAGGCAGAAAAGGGAGAAAGTGAAAATAACTCCTCTCTTACGAACCATAGGTGACAGATCAGCCAAGGGAAAAAAAAAAAAAAAAACCCTGGAGGAAGCAAAAGTCAATGAGGCGAAAGTCCTTGCAAATGACCCCTTGCCTGCTCTCTTTATGAGCCAGAAATCATCTCCCCAAATGGCCTTTTACTGCAGCATCTAAAAGCAGTCTCTCCCATCACAATTCTACATATTTATTCCAAACCTTACAGGAACTGTATTTCATATCACCAAATTTCCCAAGATTTGGGGGTTTTGCCCTATGTTTTTTCTTCTTTTAATCCATTTTTTAAAAATTTCTACACTGCTCTCCACAAATATGAAACGTAAGAAAAACTTTAAGGCCTCTTCTTATCTTCACTCTTATGGGTTCTATGGTCAGAAAAAAATTCTCGGGCATTCCCAGGCTTTCTAAACTAACCCTGTGAGCCCCTCTTCTAAGAAAATAGAAATTTACTCTTATTTAAAATGCGTCATGGTTGGTGATAGAGGGAACTCTGAATAAGAATTTTATTTGGCCCAAGGTAAAGAAAAACTAATTTCAAGGCTGTTTGATTTTATAGGAAGAGTAGAGATGTATCTATGCAGCCATTTTATTTAGCAAAACACTGTAAAGTTTATTTTCAGGGGTGGTGTGTGTAAAGGTACATCTGGGAGCTAACATGGAAAGGTTTTGAAAGCTAAGTTGTAATAAAGTCACATCATTTTGAATCATTCCTGTGAAAAAGACAGAGGACATAGAGGCTTCTTAGGCCTTCAAGTGTGGAAAATGTGGATGAGAAGGGATATATCTTTGAAGAGTGGGTCTATAGCATGGTAATAATCTGGGCTTTGTGGAAATTATGACTCTTAAGCCATAATTCTTTGGTGACTCTGGCCAAGGAATATTCATACAGTGAGATTCATGCGGTGTTATCTGATGTTGACTTCCTTTTTTTATTTTTGTAAATCCCCACCCAAATATATTTTTCCTTTGATTTTTAGAGAGAGAGTAGAAGGGAAGGTGGGAGGAGGATGAAAAGATAAGGAGATGGACAGGGTGGGGCGGGGGTGTGTGTGTGGGGGGGGAAGTGGGATACATCAACATGAGAGAGACACATCGATTGGTTGCCTGATTGGTTGCCTCTCGCATGTGCACCAACAGGGCGGGATCAAACCTGCAACCCAGGTACATGCCCTTGACCCAGAATCAAACCCACAACCTACAGGCCAATGTTCTAACCACAGAGCCACACTTGATGTTTACTTTCAAGCTGTTACTATTCTAGGCTGTAGTCCAGTCACCATACAATGTCTCTAAACCTTCAGTCCAAGTTCACCTTGCAGTGTGATGCTTTGATGGGTGAAGAGGAGGGCAGCAGCCAAGTGTAAGTAACAAGAAGTCAGAAAGAGGAAGCAGGCACCAGAGCCAGGCCAATGAGAAAGTGCTGGGAAGTCTGTGAGTGCGGAAATGCAGAATGAGAAGTGATGAGGACATGAGCCCACCTCCACCTAAGATCCACACATGCCCCAATAGAGTGCAGAATGTATCACAGTGCATGGAATTGAATCTGCATATTACTCTGTTGAATCTTGATCTAAATTAATTTGGAGCTTGCCGGAATCGGTTTGGTTCAATGGATAGAGTGTTGGCTTGGAGACTGAAGGGTCCTGGGTTCAATTTCGGTCAAGGGCATGTAACTTGGTTGCGGGCATATCCCCAGTAGGGGATGTGCAGGAGGCAGCTGATCGATGACTCTCTCCCATAGATGTTTCTAACTCTCTATCTCTCTCCCTTCCTCTCTGTAAAAAATCAATAAAAAATATATTTAAAAAAATAAATAAAATTAATTTGGAGCTTAAACTTAATTTCTAATTTGACCATCATTTACTTTGCAGGCAGACATTTAGTCCTTGTTTTGCATTTTTAACACACACACACACACACACACACACACACACACACACACACATATATATATATATATATATATATATATATATATATTTATTTATTTTACAGAGAGGAAGGGAGAGGGATAGAGAGTTAGAAACATCAATACGCTGCATCCTGCACAGCTCCTTACTGGGTATGTGCCCACAACCAAGGTACATGCCCTTGACCAGAATCAAACTTGGGACCTTTCAGTCTGTAGGTCGACGGTCTATCTACTGAGCCAAACCAGTTAGGGTTTGTTTTGCATTTTTATTTAGAAATATTGCATAGGTTCTTTTTCTTTTTTTCTTTTGGTCAGGAATATGTGCATACATTTACTTTGGCATACTTTCTGAATAAAAATAATAACAGTTTTTGGTAGTCATAGGTTGATGATTTACAAATTACTATACTCATCCTGTCACTCATTTCTTTTACAGTATGTACACACTTTTCTTAATACAAGGTGTTGAAAGATAATTTGAGGCATATTAAAAAATTTAAGAGTTTATTTGAGCAAAAATTGATTCAATTTAATCTAGCAGATAAAAAGGAGCTCCAAGAAGCTATACAAAATGAGAAACATTTTCTAGGAAGAAGATAGCGGGGACAAGGAAGTTATGCTAGGCAATAGCTGGTTGGTTATTGCAAAATGACTTTCTAGTAGGGGATGATGGTGGTTTACCAGGCAGGTTACCTAACTAGTGTTGCTCAGGTGATTCCTGATTGACTGGTTCAAGATTCCATTTCTGGAGAGCTGACACTGTAAGTTAAATCTTGGTTTGGTGACATGGGGTTTATCATAAGTGGCTTCATTTTCTGTTTGTTGTTTTGTTTTTTAACATAAGTATACGCTATTTCTGTGAAAACCAGTAGAAAGAAGAGCTTTTTATTTCTCAACACCAGTTAATATAAAGACAAAAATGAAAAAAGTAAACTGTTTTGTTGTGTTCTTAAGGTCTTGCTATGATGCTCAATTATTTGTTTCTAAGAAAAAAAATATTTGGATGTGCTAACTCTCCTTTTTAGTTTATTCTGAGTCCAAACTCTTCATCATTTTTATACACCAACACATACTTTTATTCATTTCCCAGTTATGACCATAGAATCAGTCATTGATAACAACTAGACTTGATTGTTTTCACTTGATATATTCTACAAGTGGGCAAGAAAATTTGTTCTGATTTATCCATACTTGTTAGATTTATTTATTTTATACTGAAATGTTTCCTTGATCCAATTTTATTTGTTTAATATTTCTTCAGCAATTTCTATTTTGGGTTTGAACCTACCTAGTAATTCCCTTTGCCATTTTTCTAACTCTAACGTGAAATGTTTCGGTTTTCCAGTCTGCTCTGGGTTAGCAGACCAATCAGACATGGGGCCTGCTTATTCCTACTTTGTATAGCTATCCAGGTATCTTATTTCTGATACATCTCCCTGAACTATTCCAATGTTGTTGTTGTTGTTGTTGTTGTTTTATGTGCTCTTTCTTGGGTGATCATGCCAGAGTGAAGACTTCCTTGGATGGCAGAGGTCCATCACACTTCCTGCCCATTGGCATTTCTCACTGATGTATCGCTCATCTCTCTGGCTATGGGTACTCTGGCTTTCTGGCACTTGGCTGTGTTATTACTGGGCAATTCTGAATCCTGCACCTGCCACTGGTATCTTGTCCAGAACATCAGGGTTCCTGGTGCAGTGCTGGCAGTAAGGAACCTCCCACCTCACTGTGGGCAGAGTTGCTTAGAGTAGAAGGGTCAAATTTGGCTCTTCGTTTAGTTATTGAGGGTAATTGCTCTTTCAGAGCAAGCAGACTCCTTTTGAATTAAATTTCATGTCTTACCTCCTGGAATGACTATTCTTCTGGTTCAATAGTGCTGGGTTAGGGCTATCTATTGGAAACAGGGATAGATGAAACAGATTTAAAGATGAATCCTTTTAACCCTCTATTCTTTGTAGAGCCTGTTTGACTGATAGGTAGAATGTAATTTCTAAAGCCTCAGTGTGTAGGAATAAATCAATATAATCCTCTTGTTCTACAGTTATGCTGATTGTATGTTCTGGTTTGCCCAATCTTTCACCGATTATCTTGGCATTTTGGCCATTTATCCCAGGCTTTCTATCTATCTTATATCTATATCTATATCTATATCTATATCTATATCTATATCTATATCTATATATCTATATCTATCTAAAAGCACAAATGGCTAGCTGACCAGCCAACCTGCTGATAGCTATGACACGCACTGACCACTAGGAGGAAGATGCTCAATGCAGGAGCAGAAACCACAGGCATGGAAACATGGAACAGACTGATGAATCTTGGGGGATGGAGGGGATGCAAAGAGATTAAACAAAGATCTTATATGCATACTAGAGGCCTGGTGCATGGATTCATGTATGGTGGGGTCCTTCAGCCTGGCCTGCACACTCTTTCAATCTGAGACTCCTCTTGAGATGTCAGAGAGCTGGTTTTGGCCCAATCCCCACATGCCAGGCCAAGGGACCTCACTGGTGTGCCAGAATCCATGCACTGAGCCGCTAGTATTAAAATAAGTTATTATTATACAATTCAAAATTACTAGATAGATGAAGAACCAGGAAAACATGAACACATTATAAGGAATCAGACCAGCATCTTTCTTCAAAGGAGGTAGGCCAAGCTGAGCAGCACATGCATGTTTTAATATACAATATTTGTAACTATAATGTAAAATTCAGAATGAAAGGTCTGAGAAAATTGTTACACATTTTCTTTCTTTTATGGTCTAGTAAATCAAGGCACTAGAACACCCAGCAGGTCCCTGACATACTCTCTCAATATTCTCTCTCTTTTTCCAAAAATAATCAGTTTAGACATTTTATGTGATATTTATCTTCCACTCTTCTATATTGATGTTTTTTTTAAATTTTAAAATTTAGACACTTTCCTGAACTAAGCCATTTTATGTCATTTATCATAAAACATAGCTAACAATTATAAATAAATTCATGTGGAATGAATGAGTGAATAAGTACATATATTCCGTTTAATTCTGTGCTTACTTCTAAAAAAAAGAAAAAAAGATGAAATATAAAAAATATCATCAGGTATTATTATGATATTTATGGAGTTAACTTTCTTGCTAAAAAACAAAATTTGCAAATTCCTCATCTAATACCAGGCTTTCATTCCAGTTGCTCAATTAACTAAATCAATCACAGTCTAATTATTTTATATTTTATCAGATCAACTTCCTAATAATAGGAATTATCAATGCATCATAGTTTTAATTTCAGGGGGCTTTTCATCTCTCTGTCTTCCATCTGAAATTACTTTAGCTTATTGTTGGATTATGCTGAGCCCAAGCAACTAGGTTCAAATTTTAGTCCTGTTATTTATTGATCAATGATTTTAGTAAAAGAAGTGTATTAAGCTATATTTCTTTCAGTGTATAAAACAACACAAGGCTATTGTAAAGATTAGATGGGAAAGCACATTTGAATTAAATGTTATAAACTTTTATTAGTATACTAATATATTACACACATATCATGCATATATGTACTAGGGATTGGCAGTATGGCAATAAGGGATAACCCTGTTTTCTTTTCTTTGTTTGTTTGTTTTAAACATAAGTGTTGAGAAAGTTCTCATTATTTAAAAATCTTTATTGTTGAAAGTTTTATATAGGTTCTCCTTTTCCACCCATTAACCACTTCCAGCCCACTCCAGTCCAACTCCCCAATCCCCTCCACCACCACCACCAGGCCCTAACCACCCCATTGTCTGTGTCCTTGGATCATTTTTGAGTACTGACTGTGATTGAGGGTTGGAGAATTTCCCTTTGACATAGTTCCTAGATGTATTGACAAAACTGTCATTACAAAAATACTCATAGGTGGCCTGTTATGCACCAAACAGCTCACACCTCCTGGGAGAACTAAAGTGAACATATGGAAGGGGCAGAGTGATAGACACCCTAATATTTCTGAATGAAAATAGCGGACTCCATTTGTCCATAATACACATTCACTGTTAACACTTTAGGGCAGGATTCAGCTAAGCAGATCAGTAATAAAGTTGAATATGAAAATAGGAGTCTTGTAACCTATTGTTATAAAAAACAAAACAAAACTTGTTTTCAAAGCTATTTGATAGTCCTCTGGTCAGACGAAAGCAAGAGTATGTCTTCTTCCTCTTTGTTTTTGTAATCCTCACCTGAGGGGTGAGGATATTTTTTCCATTGATTTTTTATTTTATTTTAGAGAGAATGGAAGGGAGAGGGGGAAAAAGAGGAGAAAAAGAAGATAGAGGAGAGAGAAACAGACATATCGATTGCTTGCCTCCCACATGCACCCCCACTTTGGACTGTAATAAAACCCACAATCCAGGTGCATGCCCTTGACCAGGAATTAAACTCACAATCCTCTAGAGTGCAGGCCAATGCTCTAATCACCAAGCCATGCCAGCCAGGGCAAAAATAAACCAAAAATTCTATATTCTCATTAATCTTTAAATTATGAGAGTTTATTATTAAAATAATAATATGTAATAATTATTAAAATGTTTCTTATAAAATAATACATCATTGAAACTAAATATTGAAATAACATAAGAGCATATAGAATAAAATGTATGTTATATACCTAATGTTTGCATTTCCCCAAAATTTATATATTGAAAACTAATCCCTACTGTAATAATACTTGGAACTGGGGCCTTTGGGAGGTGATTAGGTAATGAGATGAGCCCTCCTGAGTCGGATTAATGGCCTTATACAAGAGGCCCCAGAGAGCACTCTCCTCCCCTTTGCCATGTAAGGTTACAGAGAACCAGGAAGTGGGTCCTTACCAGACAATGGATCTGCTGGCACCTTGACTTTGAGCTTTCCTGCCTCCAGAACTGGTAAGAGAGAAATTTCTGTTTATAAGATACTCAGTCTATGGTATTCTGTTATAGCAGCCTAAATGGACTTAGACCATGTAAAAATCTTCTCCATAGCCTCCTCTTTCCATTCTCCTTCCCAGACATAACCATTTTTGATATTTTTAGTATTCTAAGCTTTTCTCTATGAATTCATGTGCTCACATTTGTCATGTGTTTTGTAGACATTAGTACTTTTAAGCAAAGGAGGGCTACTCTAAGATCTCTCTCTCTCTCTCTCTCTCTCTCTCTCTCTCTCTCTCTCTCCCTCATTCCTTTCCTCCCTCCCTCCCTCTCTCCCTCCCTCTCTCTTTAAGTAGAAAGGAACTCAGGCTGTCAAGTCATAGCATCCTTAATTTCAAAGTGCTGTTTTACTACTTACTAGCTATGTGACCTTTAGCATATTTCTTGGACTTTCTAATCTCACAATTGACTCAGTTGTAAAATACCATGCAAACTTGTAAAAATATATTAGTTGGGATTTGCCAGTTGTTGAAAAAAATAAATGAAATACCATGTAACTACTAGAATGATAGCAGAAACTAT